CACCCGACGCGACATTGGGAGGTCCCGGGTTCGATTCCCGGCTAGGAAGTTACTAATTTTTTCTCTCAAAAAATTAAATTTAATTAATGCCTAATGATGGAAGGCGGAGAAACCCTAGTGGAAAAACATAAGGCAGAGGCGTAACATGCCTGATCAGAATTTAGGATCGGACTTGATCAGTTTCTGATCGAGACCTGAAAAGAATTTCCACTCGGGTAGTCGAGTTTCAATGAATGTCTCGGAATCTAAGGCAGATAGGAACATTTTTGTCAGAACCTTTTTTGCAGAGCGAATTGAGAGCTACGAAAAAGGTCATGTCAAAAATTTCTCCATCTCCCGTAAATTCCGAGATATTCCAGAAAAACTCGGCTGGGAGCTAAGTCGACTTGAATTGTTTTACTGCTGCGCCAGTGAATTACAACATAATGAAATCTGCAGAGGGAAATACGATTACTCCTGTCCACCATCTCGAAGTGGATCTGCGAGTCCACCAACAACACGTTATGGCCCTTGGTTTTGTCACTGGCACCCAATTCCGTGTATACGTTGGCCACCATGTGAATGTGAAACTGCACGTGCCTGGCGTGCGGTAAACGGGTGGCATCCACTCCTTTAGTGCCTGCGAGAAGGCCCTCCAAAACAATTTCTCCGCATACTTTATGAACAACACTGTACTAGCGCTGTTACCGCATAATACTCGGTACTAGTCATGTACTAAAATAGAGTGTCTCGTTCGGTTTAGTACGAAAAACCACATATTTGATATTATTTCATTGTTCAGAGAGAGCTTTCCTGGTTTAAATTATTTTCTGGTTATTTTTCAACGTCGGACAGTGATTATATGCGAGGGAGTCTATTCTCCACGTCATGTATATTTCTATTCAGACAAATATAGAATGCAGAAGTGGCTAGGAGCAATATAGCTCAGTTGGATGAGCACTCGATAATTTAAAATATTTCAAATGATGCGATCAACGCCCTAGCCGATTTCCCAGTCGAAGAGGCTGTCGGCAGAGCTCGCTAGTATCTCGTACATTTTAATTTTTTGGAATGTAAGATTGAAAATTCAGAGTCATAATGAGTTTTCTCTCTAAATTCGAATTCTATTTGAATTTTTTTTGTTTTCTTTATAATTCCATGTCATTGTAAATTTTAATTATTTCCACAATACTGATTCATCGTTCCTTATTGAATTTTGACTTGAGAGTCTGATATTTTTTGTTCAATGAACTATTGAACTATTGTTCATTCGTCATCTTCTTCATTTTTCCTCTGTTGTTTTTCAACCGGAGACTCCGGCGAGCGGGAGGTCGCTAATATAGTGACCGCCTGTACCGGCATGAGTTTTCTGTGGTTTCCCATGCTACTCCTATGTTCTACAGGAGTGCGAATGCGGTGCAGTGTAGAATCCACAGCCGCATGCATAGGGTTGGATAGGGCCGATTAGCCAATCAGAGAGCAGAAAGGGCCGGAATATAAAAAAAAAAAATTTCTTCTGTTGTTTATATCTCCTTTTATTTTTAGAAGTAGATGGAGAATATGTCATCTTCATGTTCATTTTTTCTTTTGTGTCTCTTACGAGATGGAGAATTTTGATCTTCAGCATCTGATAAGGAACGTAATGTCTCATATAAAACCGTTAATTCGTGATAGGTGGAATCGTGAAAGGTTGTCGATTCAAATCCCGGTCTGGAGTATTCATTTTTTATCACTAGAATCCCTTGCAAATTAGACTCTAAACTCAAAACCTGGACCCTCAAAAAACTACCGGAATAAGTGAGGAAAAAATAGTTAAACTCACCATAACCCCTGAAAAACATAAAAACTCCCACAATAATTTTCTCAACGTACCAACAAGCACCGATTAACGCTTAAAAGGGCACACCTCCACCGAGAGAATGACGTTACAGTGCATTAGGGGATAGAAAAGCTGGAGGCTTCTCTGCTCTCACGCCGCACGGCTATGGGAGAGGGAGCCCAGCTTTATTTATTGCACGGCCCGATGAGTGTCATTTGAAATTTCGATATAAATTAATTTAAGGTGGTGGGCACCGGCGAGGGGGGGAGGCAAAAGGGGTTTTCCCGGGTGTAGGATGCAGTGGAACGGGGCGTAATGGTTCGGAAAATGAAGTTCTTGTAGCTTGCCGAGCAGAGAATCTCAAACCCGTTCCCATTCACCCCTTCCCCCCTCTCCCTCCCCTCACTCATCCCACTTTTCCCTCTCGCTTTGCTAGACGTCTCACCTCCACCCGTCGCACAGCATTTCCACCTAGCCTTGTTCCCCTCTCACTCGCTTTTATCACCCCCCCCCCCCCCCCCC